GTATTTTCTAAATACCCCATCTTCGTAAAACCAATTGTTTTTGAATGATAGCTTTATGAAATTGTACATAAGCTCCTCTACTTTCTTCACTTTCTCAAATAAACTCTTATATTGAGACTTTGGTTTAAATTATATGATCAATTGATGTAAATATTTATGAAAAGACTATTTAATGAAAGATTTTTTTAAAAAAACAATTAACTAGCAGTCCTAATTATTAATATTATATAGAACACATCAGCATCTTTTCTGATAGGTGAACATTAGAAAACATCCAAAATGTAACTGGACAGTTCTGAGTGCCTTTTAATGAAAAGAGGTGACTATTTTAGGTAGCTGAATGGAGTTTCCTAATCCCATGACGGAACAGCATTGTCTTGGACTTCTGCATCATTAATCAAGATAAGGACTGCCCTAATTAATTATAAAAGATTTTTCTTGGCAAGGATTATCTTTCATACTAAAAAGAACAGATGGTGTCTCATAATAAAAAAAAAAGATTTGGATTTTGAAAATTGTGATCTTTTGATTTTCTCATAATATTATGAGATGTAGATACTTAAGTGTTTTGCAACAACTACAAGGAACATACTGCTCTTAGTCACATGGCTGAAATTATAATTCTGAAAGACCCAGCTGTGGAACTGATGATCTGCTATTTCTTAAGAAATGTCTGAGAATACACTGGATATAGAAAGTTTATAAACCCATTATTTTTGAAACATAATTGTATCAGATCAAGATAAATCACTTCAGAGTTCTTTCCACCTTTAATATAACATATACATTGTACAACTAAATAGAAAAACAAACTGAAATCTTTTAGGAGGAAAAATAATAAAAATTTACAATAACATGGTTACATAAAGATGGTTGCATAAATATACTCTGTTGAAGCACCTTTTGATTTTATGACACTATTCAATTTTGTCTTGGGAATCTTTGTCCAGTCTTCATTGCAAAAGCGCTCCAAATCTGTCAGATTGCCAGAGTTTCTCCAGTGCATAGGCACTCTTCAAGTCAGCCCTCAGATTTTCAATTGGATTCATGTCCAGGCTCTGGCTGGGCCAGTCAAAACCCCATCTTCTAGTGAAACCATTCTTTTGTTGATTTGGAGTTATACTTTGGGTCATTACCCTATTGAAAGATTAAAGTCCTCTTCATCTTAAGCATTCTAGCAGAGGCCTGAAAGTTTTATGCCAAAATAGACTAATATTTGGAACTGTTCATAAATTATGAAGAAAAGCAGCCCCAAAGCATAATGCTGCCACCATGTTTCACTATGGGTATAGTGTACTTTTGGTGATGTGCAGTGTTGTTTTTGCACCAAAAATTCTTTTTGGAATTATGGTCATAGAGTTCAACCTTGATCTCATCAGACCATACCACAGTTTCCCACAAGCTTTTTGCATGCAGGTTTTTGCAAACTGTAGCTGGGATTGGATGTTTTTCTTTATAAGAAAAGGTTTCCATCTTGCCACCCTAGCCCCACTGCCCAGACATACGAAGAATACAGGAGATTGTTGTCACATGTAGTACACAATCCATACTTGCCAGAAATTCCTGCAGTTCCTTTAATATTACTGTTGGCCTCTTGGCTGCTTCTTGGACTAGTTTTGTTTTTTTCATTGATTCTGGAGGAACATCCAATTCTTGGTAATGTCACTGTTGTGCTCTTTTCTCCACATGTTGATAAATCTCTTCACTGTGTTCCATGTTATATTGAATGCCTTGGGGAAAAAATTGTATCCTTCTCCTGGCTGATAGCTTCTAGCAATCTCTTTACAGACCATGGCTTTTGCTGTACAAGGCAACTGAGTAAATGTCAGTAAAATCCTACTTGCACAGCTGAACTTTATATGGGCTTGATCAGTCACTTTAATTGATGGCAGGTGTAAATTATTTAATATCACTTTGAATGTGATTGGTTAATTCTGAACACAGCCATATCCTTACTTACAAGAGGGTATGAACACTTATGCAGCCACATTATTCTAGTTTTTATTGTTATTTTTCTCTCAAATATTCCAGTTTGTTTTTCAAAGGTAAAAACTTGAAAGAAATTGTTAAATAGAAAAAGCATGATTAGGAGTTTGATTTACAAAGGTGCAAATGAAATAAAATAAATGAAATAAAGATCCAGAGAAAGATGATTTTGGAATTAACTACAAAGAATCCTTTCCATGGGAAAATAGTTTCATTTTGAATTTAAAAGCCATACTAAGATAAACTTTTTAAAATTGGAAACTAGAGGGAACTAAAGATTATAATTAAGGGAGAAGAACATTTAAACTCAATTTACAGAACAAAGCAAAATATTTTAACATTGGATATTAAAGGATATTTTTGAACAATAAACTCAGATGTTAATTTTAATAGAAAGTGCCTCTACAGATAGAGGCACATTCTATAACATCTAAAAGATGTTATAGAAAAGGAAGAAGTTCTATCTGACAATTGAGATTGACAAGAAAAAAAAATGTTACACTGAGTATACAAAAATAAGCCAGTTGATTCTTAATAATTAAAAGGGATATACAAATAAACCAAGAGAATGGTCTGGATAATTTTCCTATATTGGATTTTCAACCAAAAAAATTAAATTTTGAAGGATTTTGTGAGAAGGGGGACAAAAAAAAAACTGAAAAAAAAGTCCTTTGACATTGTTTGAAGGCACTAAAAGTTCAAAATTGTTAGAAGTAAAAGTAAGGAATATAAAGTTGGTTTATTTGATCAAGTTAAAATATAGTGTTATTTTTTTTAACCCTTATTGAACCCTTGCTGACATCAGAACTGAAATGACAATGTTTCATGGATTTGTTTATAGAGAGGAGATGGGCTATGGGAAGAAGAAATCATTTGTTGTATTTTAATAGAAGGTGATAAAGTTCTATTCTGTTTTAATTTTGAATTAATTTTTACTGTTGTAATTATAATCTTTAATTAAATTACTATAAATATTCCTTGTTGCACTGAAACAAGATAAGAGAGTGGGATACCGCATATACAAGATTCAGATTTAGTTCTAGTATTCTTGAATATTTGCATAAGGACTGGGATTGAGATGGAAAAAACACTTATCAAATAAGTAGGTGGCACAACTTTGGGTGAGATATGTAATAACCTTGAAGGCAGAAGCAAAACGCAAAACAACAGGTTGGCGGAATGAAAATGAGAGAATGAAATTTACCAAGACAAATACAAAATTCTTAAGAAAAACATGCAAAGCTATATGCAACCTGTTTTAGTAAAAATATTTCTGTAAAAAAGATGCTAGAATTGTAATTAATCATAATCATCAATGACATGGCTATGAAAAATGTAAGTTCTGTCAATTGAAGTGTAATTTCTGAATCAAATATGATTTGCTCTACTTGGCATTGTCAGACCCCACTCTATGTAGTAGTGGATCTCATATAACTGTAGTAATGCCCCATTAATCAAAGCAAATAAATTAAAAGTCTACTATTGTTAAGCCTGAAGCCTTAGGTTCCATTTTTTTCAATGTCTGAAATTTAAGACAACAGATTTTTGTTGTTGTACTATTTTCATTTCTACTTCTGTTAATCCTAATCCTAATGACTGATAAAGAGGAACGCGAATAAAATAGTTGTTCAATTAATCTGTATTCCATGACAAACAATAAACACTTGATTTTATTTTAATTATTGTGCCAGTCATAGTCTGTACCAAGTGAATCAGCACTGGAAAAAGTGGGACATGAGCATAAACTATATATAAAAATAGTAATTTAATTACCTGATGCTTGTTCTATAGCATGTTATGAAGCACATCCAGCTGTCTGGCATCTTGCAAATCTGTGTGTCGGTGTGAGAATCTATGCATACATACATTTATTGAAAAATCAGAATACATGGAAATTGCAGCAGTTTGTCTAGGACAAGTCTGCTTTTTTGTTTTCAGCTTACACGTTGTATTTTATGAACATGCGCTTTATAAAGTTTTTAAGATTCCAGAGCAGTATGAAAAAGTGGCAATTTTAATGGCCCCTAATTTAAATTTGATTTTATACAGTCATTTCTAATGAAAACAACAATTGTTCAACAATAAAAATTTCTTACATTAGGTATGCATCTATTATGAGGGCCCAAGGCTGCTGCCGAATATGCCCTCAGCAGTACAACTTGGTTTTATAAAACACTGCTTAAACATAGAGCATCATCAATGTAACTTGGAATGCACTCTAACATAGAGTACAAAATAACAATACTACCAAGTGCAAACCTAACCATCTACACAGAGGGAAAAGTGCAGTGATTAGAAATAGCATGTGGCCTAAAACAAGATCTTCATATAATAGCATCTTTGTTTTGAACGTCTGAATGGCATCACATACAAAGGTGAAAACATAAGATCAGTTATTTGTTTCTTGAACATGTAGCTTTTTTTCAGTACTATGAACTTGAAAAAAAAGTTGGTGTTGGGGTAATCAAATAATCAGGAATTACAAAATACTATCTGAGCTTATTCCAATGTAGCCATGTGTCTCTCTTCCAGTAGTTTTCGCAAAGCAAACAGAAAAAAAGTTGTCCTCTGGTCTTTAGTAAACAATATCACTGCAATGATTCAAGGCTGCCACTGGGTTCCAAATCTGTCCAATATTTTGTACACAACTGAACAGTCTACCCACCCACCAGTAAAAGTGCACTTTCAATAACTGTTACAAAAATAGATTGGCACATTGTTGACAGAGTGACAATATAATCACAATCCATCATTGGTTTTGGATCCATTCATTAGGTGGATATCAGCTCTAGCAGTAAATGCATCCAGTTCCAAGTGGGTCAACAGGATTTTTCAAAAAGTGTAAAAGAAAGGTGCTAATCCTCCTTGTTCTTTCATGAATTATTTGGGCAACCCAGTAAAGTTCTCTTTTGGTCCACAAAGTATTGTATGAATGTTCCACCCACTGTCGACTCATATGTGAACTCATTCAACATTTGCACTGAGTAGTTAAACAGTTCATCTAGCCTGAGAAGTCTTAAGGAATTCACCGTTTTATTCCTAATATCTGGTTGAAAAACTGCATTGAAAGAGAAGAAAGGGCACTGGGGCTTCTGCATCCCATTTTTTTTTCTTTTTTGCATTTTCAGTAGTAACTTGTTGCTCTTCTGAGCAAAATAGACAATAGTTTTTAAACCCCTCCCCCTTCTTGGAAGGGTAGCCTGTGCTAGGAATTCTGGATCAAGCGTCTGTAATGTGGCATCACTTCGTGTTCAGGTAGATGAAGAGCAAATTCCAAGGCCACTAACACCGGGAACTCAAAGGCAATCAACTCTCGCCTATTCAAGCGGAACTTTTCTTCCAGTTTCTGTAACATAGCCAAGAGTTGCAGCTTAGTATTTTAGGATACTAATTGTAGGAAAGTACTTAAAATAACTTCCCCTAATTTTATTTATACATTCAAATAGTATCTGCCCAACCGGTTTGATCAGTCAGCATTGGTGCACTCCAGATTCATCAATTCAACAATGCTACCTCCAGGACCCTAGAAGTGCATATTCTCCCTAGCAGCACCTACCCTCTGGAATTAACTTTCTCCCAAGATTTGAACAGCCCCCCATCCAACTGGTATTTTAAAGGGTCCTGAAGACATGGCTGTTTGCCCAGGCTTTTAGTGAGGATATTTGATGACCCTTTCTTTCTTTTCCTTGTGGTATGCTCTGTTATTCCTGCTCTTCCATTACGTGTTCATTTTGGTTTTGCACATCTCCCTATGTTTAAGTATTTTTAACATTTTGTAAACCACCCAGAGTTGCTGGGAGTTGAACAGCATAAAAATTTAATAAATTATTAGTATTATCAAAATAGAATTTCCTAATCATTTAAATTATTTTTCAAACAAATGTAATACTTGATGTAATGACCACAGAAGAAGACACAACCCTTCCCAATACTTTTTTATGGCAAAAATTAGTGGCCAGAGATACTTACATCTATAAGATGCCTGACTTCATGCTTTTTGATGTCACTGCCAATTTTGGCAGCTAGTAAGACGCATGCTCCAGCACAGAGCTTTCTGTTTTGCTTGTTGAGTTTTCCTTTGAGAGCAAGCTTTTCAAAATAGACAAAGGCCATAGCCACAGTAGGCTCCTCAAAACCACACTCTTCTTGAGCTAGTTTGCGCATTTCTCGCTTCAAGCTGAAAGAGGAAGGGAAGTAAGTTATGTTGCCAAAGAAAACTGAAGATAATAACAATGTCTGTAATTTAGAAATCTTGCCTAAATATACATAGCTGAAATATTTGTAGTATTATGTTGCACATTATTCTCAGTACATGTAATTGTTTATGCCTTCTGTATTTCTGAACACTGAAATGTCCATGTTTGAAATCATACCTAGTTACTTACACAATAATATGCCTAGTATCTTCAAAGTGCTGAACAAGGCAAGATTCTAGGTAAAGAAACCAACATAGCAAGGGGCTGAACTGCTTAAAAGGCTTTTTGGCAAACAGAAATTCTAGTCTAACAGCTCTTTCTTATTTTTGCTGTTCCTACTCTACCTTCCAGAATAGGGTTACACTGTTCTCTCTAGGCTGAAAGTCACACCTAGCCTTTGGGTTAGCATGCTATGAAAAATATGTGAAGGCCAAGGCAGGGAAGTGCTCTTGTTATACTTTCCCCTGTGCAACTGCAAAACTATAAAGAGTCTCCTAAACTTCTGGACAAATGCAAATAATAATTTGCAAATATAAGTTACAACTCTCTTCTTTTCTTTTACTCATGTTTTTGGACTGCAAGTACACAATATATCATACAAAGGACATTAAATTTATATAAAAACAATAAGAGATCTTAATCAATGGACTACAAAAAAAGAAGTAAATAAGTGTATGCAATATACTGAAACTATTCCAGCTGGTTAACTGGAACTTGGATATCACCAATTTGCTTGTCCAGGTAGTTTCTCAACTATACATAGTTGATTTCCCAAAGCTGTTTGTATCATCTAAATGGAGGATGGCTGTTCTTTTTTGTAACCAAGTAATCAAAATTTGAAACCAGCAGTTAAAACTTGATTAGTGCTAATCAGAAATGGTAACCACTTTGAGATCTACCCATGAACTCATCCACCTCTTCCTGTGTTACTAGTTTTAGTGGCACTTTTCCTTTTGTCTAAAGAATTACATCTGTACACTTAGTATTTGCCTAACTGTACTCCATGAATGCTTCTTTTTCAATCTGTGTTAGTATTGATTGACTTTATTTTTTTCTATCCATGTGATTTTCTTGATATAAACACAGACGTGATTTATGACTGCCGTCAACTGTGCAGTACCTTGCCATTGTAACTAAAGTGATCATCTATCTCTGGCAATTTCCTATATCTGTGATGGCGAACCTATGGCACGCGTGCCACAGGTGGCACGCGGAGCCATATTAGTGGGCACGCCAGCTCAGCTCTGGGGCGCATGCGCGTGCCAGCCAGCTGATTTTCGGGCCTTCTGGGCCCACCAGAAGTAGGGAAAAGGGCTGTTTCCTGCCTCTGGAGGGCCTGGGGGCGGGGTGGGGAAGGCCCGTTATTCTTCCTTACCTGGCTCCAGATCCTCTCTGTGTATCTGGGAAGGGTGAAACAGCCTTTCCCACTCCCTTGGAGGCCCTAGGGAGGCTGAAAGGGCCCATTTCCCGACTCCCGGTGGGACAGGAAGTGACGTTTTTTCCTGTCCCCAGCCTCCAGAGACTCCTAGAGAGGCTTCTAGAGACTCCTAGAGAGGCTCCTAGAGACTCCTAGAGAGGTTCTGGAGGCTGGGGACAGCAAAAAATGTCACTTCCTGTCCCACCGAGAGTTGGGAAATGGACCCTTTCAGCCTCCGTAGGGCCTCCAAGGGAGTGGGAAAGGCTGTTTTCGCCCTTCCCAGATACACAGAGAGGATCTGGAACCAAGTAAGAAAGAAAAACGGGCCTACCAGGCCATCATGTGCCAGGAGTGGGGGCGGGAGGGGGGAGGGGGTTGCACACGCATGCGCGTGGGCACGTGCGCGTGTGACCCTCCCCTGCCCACCCCTCCTGGCATGCAATGGCAAAAAGGTTAGCCATCACTGTCCTATATCAATGCTGCCCAATGTTGGTATCTAATTGCTTTAATTGGGCAGCTGAGATGATCTGAACATCTTGGGTGACCCTGCTAGGAAAATTGGCACACACTCCCAACATTCTTCACTCATCCCTCTGAGGAACACTACTAACAGGATGATGAGGCAGCATAGCAGAGGGAGGATGTTAGAAGTAGGGAATGTTTTTTTAATGAAAAATAAGTCGTAGGTCAACAAAAAATGAAAAATAAGCAAGAAATGGATTTTATTTATTTATATCCCGGGTTTATTATTTTATAAATCACTCAAGGGAGTAAATGTACCTAATACTCCCTCCTTCTCCTATTTTCCCAACAACTCTTTGAGGTGGGTGGGGCTGAGAGAGATGGACTGGCTCACAGTCACCCAGCCAACTTTCATGCCTAAAGCAGGACTAGAACTCATGGTGTCCAGCCTGTTACCTTAACTATTAGAACAAACTGGCTCGCTACATTATATATTTCATGCAATGCTCATTTTGAACATTTGCAATTCCCTTTCTTCCACTCTTACCTCTTCTATCCTGCCAAGCAGGCCTTAAGAAACAGGCTCCTGCTTGAGATCTCAACTAAGATTAAGCAAATGCTTTTTGAAACCAGGCAAAGGTCATACGCTCCTGTAAATAGCCATGATAATCTATTTTTTTACATGTGTATATAAGGAAAAATATTTTTTCTATAAGTTTTCCTATGTTAGGGCTTGTTTATACAATGTGAGGGCGCATGTGCACTTGTGGAAGTTTATAGATACAGATGTATATGTACAGTACATGTACATGTATTTACACACATATGCAAAGTAGAAAGTATTTGTATAATGCTATAAACAACTGAAGACCATCTGCCAAATATCTTGGCTATACATGTCAATTGAAAAGATTATTTACATCCTCACGTTTTCAAATTTAAGACTGTACAGCACAGAAAATGCTATAAAATATATTAAATTGCTCACAAAAATATTCAGGATAAATATGCACAGGAAAACATGGATCTTTACAAAAAAACAAAACTTGTGAATTCACGTAGAAATTCATAGAATGAATTTAAATTTAGAAAAATGAAGAAAGAAGAAAATTAAATATTTGCCAATCCCTTAGCAGTCATTAATAAAATGCAATTATGATAAATTGTTCCATCAACTGATCCTGTTAATGAATCTCAATTTCTTGTCTGTCCTTAAACTATCCAATAGGAAATTTTTCTGTTTTGTCTACTGCCTTTACAAAAGTTCTCACCTCCCTTAAGTCTTTCCTTTCAGCATTTATATTTACTTATTAAAACATTGCAAGTCAATAATATATACTTAGGTACATGTGCTATCTTATTTACTGAACATCTGATCAGGAAGCAGCTGATTGTTTAGTGTCCTTAAAGGTCATTTTGCAGAAAATCTACTGTTAATGTTTTACCTCCCTATACTAAAGATATCAAAGGGTAGTTGCCTGGGATTAGTACCTTCTTATTTTACTGAGTGTCAACTTGATGTGAGGAAACTTCTCCTTGAAGGTCTCATTCATATCTTTCTTAAGGTCCGATGGCTTCACATAATCAATGACTGTAGTCTGTAATATATTACAAACAAGATTTAATATCCATTTGGCATTAGAATTGCTGCCTTTTCCTTTTCCTCTTCCTTTCAAAAATTACCATGATAATTATTTTCTAACTGTTTTATCAAAGAACAATAAAACAGTTTGTTGTATTTTAAAAACAATATAAATATCATTGCATTTCATAAGCTCAAGATTTCTTTATCAATATCCACAAATAGTGTGAATGTGGGTGCAACATGCATGGATGCATGGACACACACACACACACACAAATACATTACTAATTACTTTTTCACACTTGGCTGGGTCAAGAAGCAAAGGGCAACAGTAGGTTTGCATGTAGGCTACTCTGAATTTAATTGCTGGGAACAATTCTTCAGAGAGACGTGCCGAGCAGAACTTTTGCAGGTTGTAAATGAGTTGCTCAAACCAATCTGGAAGCTGGCTACTTACAGTACCCACAATGCACTTTGAATGTAAAGTTACTCATGTACGCATCAGATTGAGTGGTTACAAGCCCTACTGAAGTATCATGTAGTTGAGGATTTATGGGATCTAGTTCATAGTTATGGTTTAAGCATTTGGACAGATGCCCATAGAGATCAGGCCTATTCTTTGATGCTTACCTATCATAGCTCATAAAATCTAGTAGGAAGGATGGTGGCCAGTAAGTTACATATACTTTTAGGAAGCCAATTACTCAGACTAGAGGTAAGCAACCTTGTAGAGAAGCCATATTTTTTAAATATGAGATTCCTCAAAAAATCTCAAGGGGTAAAGCCAATAATACTGTGTTGTTATGAAAGCGGCATGGTTCTTGGAAGAAGAGAAAATGTAGTATAAAACAGATACATTAAAGCTAACAGAGGTTTCACAAAAGTATTTTAATTTTTATTTTCTGAAAAAAAACCCTCACAACTGTGCCATTGAAAAGGGGTATTCTGGTATATTTTAATAGCATGATCTTGGATAGTTTAGGGAAACCTTCTATCCCAGGAGCAACTCATTTAATAAGTTTACATCTGCACCACTGGATCCCATTGGAGAAGCCACTGGTAATTGTGGTTTGGATTGTGATCCCATAAAATCACAGTTCTCAGTGGCTTCTCCAGTGGGATCAGTTCTATCTCTTCATTTTATTTGTCTTAAGAGAGGTTATGTGAATACAGTGGTGGGCTAGATATAGATCAATATATTGAATCTGAATCTGACAGAACTGTTACATACAAATAGCTCTCAAGTTTCAGAATTAGGGAGATGGTCTGTATTTTTTGCCTCTAAGAAACAAGTTTGTACTTTATGGTCCGCCTTGACCCCAAACTAGAAAAACAGATACATGTCTCTTCAATGGTGCTTACATTCAGGATTTCCACTAGCTATTAATTATGGTAATTTTTAATTCTTACATATGATCTATCTATCTATCTTTCACATTTTTGAACTGATCACCTTAGAAAAGGACTCTTGGTGGTGTACAATAAAAGCATTATACTTTCATTTTTAATGTGTGTTCTATAATAAGAATGGTCTACAACTACTAGATAAATAAAAATAAGATTCACAGTAGTAATGAAGTTGAAAGATTTGTTTTTAATCTTCAAAATATTAATGAGTTCATTAGCTTGCTAGAAGTTTCTGCAAACTAAATTCTATATCTAGAAAGTATTTCTGCCTATGCAGGCTTTTTAAGCTACAAATTTCACAATGTACATGTACTTTTTGTACTGTTTTGCTCTTGAATTATTAAGTAAATCAATTCCATATTTCTAATGAAGGTGCTAAGAAATTCACTTAACTTCTAATATTACAGCGTGTGGTTGAATTGGTTAAAAATACAAGCTATTTGTTCATAATGGTTCAAAGTTATGATGGTGTTGAATGAAGGAACTTACAATCCATGCCAGAAGTTATGGCTATAGCAGCGCCCTCGCAGTTGTGTAATCAAAATTCAGGTGCTTGGCAGTTAACCCGCACTTATGACTGCAGGAATGCTGCAATTTCCCCACTCACCAATTCCCTCCCACCTCTTCTATGCCCTTATGGGCCAGCGCTGTGGCTGTCAAGTGCCACTGTGCATGGTAGTAAAAAGTTACAGTTTTGGGGTGATAGGCGGGTGGGGAGAGTTGCAGCACCCCTCCAATCAATTTGAAAAATAATGCAAGTCACTACATCTTTTATTATTGCCTATATATTATTGGGGAAGAATAAAACAGAGTTGCCAGAGATTCTTTATGAAGTTCTGAAGTGTAAAAAAATCTCAGAATGCAGAAAGATTAATTTTATTAATCTTTAAAAAATATAAAGGCCAAGAAAATACCAAATGACATGTCCAGTTTTTCATCCCTAAACAGTGTTGAATGTGGCAGACTATTTACTTTTGAAGGCCTGAAAAATGTTGTTAGCACTTAAATGTAAGAGAACAGCTGGCATGAGTCCATTGGAACTGGTAGCTATTTATCCTGGCAGACATTCAACTGTTCAGCTAGACACAGCAAGCAGACTAATCCCCTTCAGTGGAATGGACAACTAAATATGAGGTGCTCCCCTGCAGCACAATTTAAGTCCTTTTGAATTTCTACTATAACTCACTGTTGAGACAAGTCACCATGGAGTATTTCTTGACTATGAAAGCAATTCTAAATAATTCCTGAGGCTTTCCAGTAACTATCAAATTTGGAAACAACCTGAAGCAAAATCATACAATTTTTTTCAATAATTTCCAAGCTGGAAAAAGATGAAACATTTGCAAATTGTAATATAAAGAAGCATCATATATTGTAAGTTATATGCAGAAATTTCTGGATCTGCGCAGCTATTTCTTATTTTCCAAATTAATCAACATCAAAGCATTCAGACATGCTATGGTGCAAGAAATTTGGCTGCAGACACCACCCTTATTTTTAGGTAAGCCTGAAATAAAGTGATGCTACTTTAAAAGCTTCATTAATTTTAGTGCTGGGATTTCTTAAAGTGGTGACATCTATTTTCAAGTTTATGTAACATCTAAAATGGTCAATGGATGGTTCAGTGATACTGTCCTTCCATGAAGTCTGAAAAGCTTCCAAATTACTTTCAAAGTAGTTACTTTGCCATGGCACTTTAGAAATAGACCGAATAATGCAATGTATTTTTTTAAAAAAAATCACTTCAGCCCAAGCAGAAGTCTTTCAGGACTGTTTGCCTGTATCAGTTCTTGGATAACTCATCATCTTAAATATTATTGCATAGTGTAGTGCCAGGTAAAGCTACTTCAGGAGAAATCCAATGCTGTACATGCAGTCATTTATTGATACATTTTCTTCCTTCTGCAGAATCCTGAAGAAATGTCCCTCCTCAACATTTGTTGGAAACATCCTCAATCTACAAGAATAGATTTGGAAACGGGAGGATGGAACTGCAAGGGGTAACATAAATTATATTTTCTCCCATGCATCTGACAAAGCTATTTTGTAATGGAATGGGTGGAATGGACTACACTGGAATATAACCTTCTGCCAGACTGTAAACAGATGTATTTTTCAGTACACAAGCTGACAAATACATAGTCCTGCCAAAAAATTCTGTTTTTAACCTAGACATAGAGATTGGGCTAGCTAGCTGCAACTACAATCTATTTCCCTGCCCTTCAAACCACACACATAGAAATTCATATTCCTTGAGAAACAAGTAGTGGAGAAAGAAGATCCGGTTTGCATTTGTTCTTTCCCTTTTAAACCACTGTTGAAATGATACATCCCAGAGTACAATATTCTTAGTATGACTAGTGGAAATACTTTATGTCAAGCACCTTCCAAAGCATGCTCCATAAACTTATGCAGTGCTATCAAGGCACATTTCTTTGAATAAATCCAAATGCCTCAAATTTTTTTAAAAAATTGTGGGTTTTTTTGGGGGGGCAAATTCTGTCCTAATTTTGTTAATTATGTCCCTAGACTACCAAAATAATTCTACTCTCAGACTAGAACAAAAACAACAAAACAAGAGTGCAAGAGTGGGATGTTTGAACACATTGTACAAAAGCTGGTTTACACCACTATTTCAGATCATTTTGTATGTTCTACTTTGACCCATCCCATGTATGTATGTATATGTCTGTCCTCACCCATGAGGGAGAACAATTTTATAAGACTGCAGCTGCCAAGCTCTAATGACATAAGCCTGCCAACAAATGACTGCTTAATTACAAACCAGATTTCAGCACGCAGAGAACAAACTGTTCCATGCTGACACAAGGGCCACTCTCAGTTCGGCACCCTTGTAAAATGTAGCAATTAAAATAACTATTCTCCTCAATGTTGCAGATTATTTTGGCTTTTTGCTATACAGTGAGCAGAATCCAATGTCATGCAAGTGAAAACCTCCTTGTGCACAATTTTTTTTTTTTGCTTTTCTCCTCAACCCTTCAATTTTCTTCCACATATTCACCCTCAAACTCTGTTCCTGATGGCTGAGGACTAGAAAGCCAAACAATTTAAGTTAATTTTGTAACTAACTGCTTATACAAAGAGATTTACACATAATTGCATTTGATAGTAGCTACACTGGAATGATTCATTACCACAATTAGACCTATGTTTGCTGTTGGATGTCCAGCTTGTAAACTGTATAGTATGATTTACTGGAATATCACATGAACCGGCTCTCAATATCAGCATTATTGATTGTTTTCTCTTTTAAGGAAGGATGAATTATAACTCTTAGCAGCAGCAGCAAAATTTTCTGAAATCTAAATGGAAGTTGAAACAGTCCTTTTTATGAAATATTACAAGATGCCAATAAACAGAAAAGCAGTATCTCAAGAGTAATAGAGGGCATATAAGAAAATAGGAGGGCAGCTATTCCATAAAAAATGTATTAAGGCACACTTGATGTTATTGAAGCATGAAGAAAAATCAAATGGTATTTCACTGTCCTTTTCTTTCATTGTGAGCACAATTCTACGAATGCTATTCCAATTTCGGTACAATCATAATAATGTTACCCACAGACTACATAATAGTAATCAAGCCATATAAAAACCTATTATAACTGAAAAATTACCTGTCATATTACTGAGTATTATACTCACCATATAGGAAGGAAATATCAGCACCCGCTTATGTTTTCCACATGGCCACTGAGGATCATCTAGAAGATTAGGGTTGTATTCAGTGTAATCTCCCAAGTCACTGCCTACGAAGAATATTAATAAAAAGAAGCAACTACATGAAACCTAAACAACAGCAGTCAAATGGATAATCAAATTATATAATATTGTCTGCCTTCATTTTTGTATCTGAAATATATATTTAATACTAAATGGGGTGAGCCAGGGTATAAAGCTGATATAGTTTCCAATGACAATTTAGGACTGAAGTAGATTGATGGATAGGTACAAGAAATATAAGTAAAAGAATCACATGATGTAGATCAGAAAAGAAAGCAGGCTTCATAAATGATAAACCATGAATTGTATATCAGCTCTATTATTAGATCAAGGTAGAGGCTAACATAACTACTATATTTTTTCACATCATGTTTGTAGAAAATGAACTTACTGGAGACTGAATAATGTCAGTGAAATGCTTGATCTACGAATAGCTACGCTGCACTGAGTGAGCATCTACAATGAGCAAACTTGCTTAGTCACAAAATGCCTTAGCTTTTGGTTATATGCTAAAGCAAAGCATTCCATCAATATCAACAGCTCTTGCATTATTCATGAATATTATTATTTGATTTCATAGTATAACAGAGGAAAAGCACAATGCAGCAGATGTATACAATGTGTCCAATGTTAGCTTTGTCACATCATTTCATAATAGCCAATTCAATCATGTGTGCATATGCTATTAATAGACTACCTGTATCTATGCTCCCTTGGGTGCTATTAGCTCTTCCCAATGAAAGGCTACGATGGCTTGCATTACGAAATTGTGAAAAGGATGAGGTCGAGTCTATCGTGTTTCTCCGTGTCCCCAAGGCATTGGTTGGAAAGAGAAACTGGGTATAAGAAACAGTCTAATCAAGAAGAAAAGAAAAAAAAAATATTCAAGTTGAAAGAACACATCATAGAAGATGAACCAGAAGCTATTTATAGAAAAATAATTCCACAATTGAACTTGATTATGGTTATTGATAGTTAGCGGTAAATTCCATTAAATGCAGTGAAGCTTACTCTCTGGAAGGAGATTAATGATTTTGGCATAAACTTACAAATGAACTGAATAATCTAATGTTGTTTAGTAATAACCGCTCATTTCCCCAAAGATACTAATTGAGTGTAGTTTATGATTTCAGAGACTATATTTTGAAGAATGAGTATCCATACCTTTCCATTAGCTCCTAATTCCACACCTTCAAGGCCAACTATGTCTTTCAAGCAAACACCTGCAGTAGAATGACATTGCCTTCCACCTTCTGTTTTCATATCTCTGTGAAATAAAACCAGTAATGCATATCCGTTTTAGAATTATGTGGAAATGCTGAATTTAAAAATGATCCTGTTTATTACCTCTATAGTTTTGTATAGGAGAAAAATGAAGAAGATAAAGAATGCAATAAAATAGCTTCAAATTCATGTAAAATTTCAATCAACGTCAGGAAATGTTTGAAAGAAATACAGAATCTGTTAATCCACAATTCACATCATCTGTTATCCCAGATGGCAAGATGGAGTTACAAACCCCACCCCCACTTGTAGCTCTTCGCTACTATATCTTGATCATCTTGGTTTTTGCAACCAAATTATAGTAATCTTAGTGGATTAAATAGATTACATTTTGTAACTGCAAAATGTACATTAAGATGCAAAAGAAACAAACAACAGCAAAAAATCAATAAAATGTCTACATAGTTGCAATATGTAGACATTTTATGTCTATTAAATGTTTTATTAAATTATGTTTTATTAAATAAAACATTTATTAAATGTTTTACTATATACTTGAAAATAGAAAATGTTTTATTTTTACAGTAAAAATAAAAAAACCTTTTTAAAACCCCCAAAGAAATCCTGTTACATAGCAATACCATAACCATGAACTCTTCTAAAAGTTGTTATGAATTTAGGACCTGTATTGTGTCAATGCAGTTCTACTCACAAATATTTTCCATTTAGTTGAAGAAATAGCAAACACTCTTATAAAAAATTCATTTGTCCCCTTTATTGGAATAAATGGAGATATCTATGCATGGACATCTACAAAGGACAGGGAAACAAATGACCAGAAAGCCAACTCTACCGCTTACCTTCATGCAGCATTGTGATGCAAGTATGAAAGGACAGAGCTTGTGCTGTGACATCAAAGCACATGGTCATTATGCTACATTGCTGATGACTAATGACTCTTATGTATCTATGGCCAGAGGAGCATATATTGACTGGGTTCACAGAACAAGCAAAACCATGGTGTGAATTATTTTATTTTTCTTAGTGTTCTGGGCAAATTAAATGCCCAGACTCGTTTGCTATGTGATGTGGGGCAAATAAATTTAATATATAAATAAGGTTAAAAATCATGATTTACTGTTTTGTATGATATGTAAAGTCAGCTTACTGATAAAGCAAACTTCACCTTAGCATAAATCAAGCCACTGGATGAGATATGATTAAAAGAATTTAATTAAAGGGAGGATTGGTTAATTAAGGCCTCCTTAACCTTAGTTGCGTGTTACAAAGCAGCTTCATTAGGAGTTCTTATGCCCATGGATAGATGCTTCCTTTAAAAAATCACATTTTACGTGTTCTACTGTCATCAGATTTTATGGTATACTTGAAAAACAGATCTCAATCAGGGGTGAAATCCAGCAGGTTCTGACAGGTTCTGGAGAACCAGTAGCAGAACTTTTGAGTAGTTAGGAGAACCGGCAAATGCCACCTCTGGCTGATTCCAGAATGAGGTTGGAATGGAGATTTTGCAATATCCTTCCCCCAGGAGTGGTGAGGGAATGGGGATTTTGCAGTATCCTTCTCCTGGAGTGGGGTGGGAATGAAGATTTTGCAGTATTCTTCCCCTGCCACGCCCACCAAGCCATGCCCAGAGATCCGGTAGTAAAAAAATTTGGATTTCATCACTGATCTCAATCTAATCTATTTTATCATTAATGTGATAAAAGATGCTGGCAATTATTGTTAGAGGAAAAAGCACACACAAGGGAATAGGGAAACATTTCTTTTCACTCTCTAATAAAAATGTCCCCCTTCTGAGACTATTTCATACCTTATTCATTTCATTTGACTAAAATGCCACATGTTTTATCCTTAGTCCCCTAAATTTCTTTTAGGAAGCCATAGTATTACTTTCATATCTCTTAGTTGAATATATAATTTACTTTATGTAAGACTTTTTTCCCTTTTATTTCATTTATGAGAAGCTTAGAAGCAATAATTTATGCTATAAACAAACATTATTTGGCATTCGTTGTAGGAATTCTAGATAACATTAACATTAAAGCAACCATATACTTAAAACCATATGAAATATCTCTTAGTTTTACTTATTGCACAAAAAACGCTGCCCTGAAAGTTCAAAAAGTTAACCAAGTAAATATTTGTAAATACAACAGAAGGAAATTACAAGACAGTAACAACTTATCTGGAAGAAGCTAAAAAATTATTATTCTTTATTTATTTATTTGTTCCCCAAATATATACTATTTTCTGAAAAGTGACTTCTTAAAGAAAAAATTGTTATGTGGAAAATGTATCACGTGTTACGTGGACTGCTGGATATTAATGTTTCTTTTATTTTTGTATCATTTGAACTCAGGGAAAAACAACTACATCACATTTATTTCCATTCTGATTAAAATATACTTCAACTTAAACTGTGCCCATTTTGCTTTCATTTTTAAAATTTTAATTGTGAAACAGTGATACAAACTTGATTTATAATTTAACTTTTCTTGAATTAGATGGAACATGCTTGCAACAGGAATAATTCATCAGAATGTTGTTAAATATTCTTTAATAAACATTGCTGAGGCAAAAGTCAAGGCCTGGCTCATCATTCTAACAGTCTTCCTCTCATTGCCAATGTTTTTAGAGTTCCTGAAATTCTTTAGTTTGTTTTGTTTACTCCCCATTTCATCAAGCTTCTTCTTCATAATATGAACTCAGATTATCAGCGATCTAATTACAAACAACACCACATCATCAAGCAGGCAGTCAGAATTATTACTAAGATAATGTTAGGGCAATTCATCATAAAGGAATGTTTCCTAAATGATATTGTATGATGTGGTCTTCTGCCTTGATGACTAGAAACAGAGAAAGCTTGAAGAGCAAACTGGAGAAGGAAGAGAAAATGGTGGCTAAAAATGCAATACAAGTGCAAGGAAATAAAATTGTTCAAATATATGTTTTATTTCATCACCTGGATACAGGGTTGGAAAATTAGGTGCACTTTTTTCAGTTCAACCCTTCAATTTATCTCTTTAGTTATACAAGAAAGTTCATGTTTATAAATATGTTCTTTCTCTTATACTGTATACAGTGGTACCTCGCTACTCATTGTTAATTGGTTCTGGGAAGCGCAATGAGTAGTAAAAACGAGTGCCAAAAAACCACGTGACTTACCATGTGACCCATTTTTGGGCCAGGAAGGACTTCCTACTTCAGTCACTTTCGCAGCATGGCTGGTGTCCTGTCCATTCTCCATGGCCGTCCCCTTTTCCTACCTCAGTGTGTCAGGTACCAAACAAGTACCAGAACAACATTTTCAGGTCAAAATACATAAAATACCAAATTCAACGAGTTTTGAAGCAGTCAAGTACGAGGTACCACTGTACTAATGAAAGTTAAATTCAACAGCATGTCTTCCATGGACTGTGTGATTTCAAAATATTATTTTTAAGAAAACAATAACCAATAAACCTCTAGATTAGAGAGAACACATCGGTGTGATGTGAAAAAAAACACTGTTTAAAAAACATGGATTAGCATTGAGGGTGAACTGCTCTATAGTAAAAAACAAACCTGTATTTTTGTATTCCCCTTCTCTCTTTCTCTCACATACATATATCACATGAAAGCTATCCTTACACAGAGTGGGACAACTCACCATGACCAACTTACCACGGGGCAACTTGCCACAGGACAATTCAACAAATACAAAAATTACATTAATTTCAAGAGAACTATAGTCAATAATAATACAATCCATAAATACAAGAGCTACAATAATTTCAATGACAATGTGGTTACCAATAATAAAAGTAATTGAATGAAACAATGAATATAGCGTTGAATTGTCCCGCGGCGAGTTGGCCTGTGGCAAGTTGGCCATGAATAATTTGCCACATAAACAATATAAACAATGTTGTAAATTGCAGTCATGTGAACACAGAACACTGCAAACAGCTATACACGTGGAGCCGTTGCCGAGGCCTAAAATGTGATCATATGACTGTGGAGAGGCGGCCGTTGGAAACCTGAATCTGGGACATTAGTGCTGAGGCCCTGAGAAGATCTATGGAAATTTCAACAGTTGCTAAGCAACCAGTCTTAAGTTGAGGACTACCTGTATAAGTACATTATTATGTCCTTTCCTGTTGCAGAATTGGGAAACATCACTGTTCTAAAGCTAGTAGTTGCTTTGAGAGATTATTATCACCAATGATCAATCTTCTAAAGCAAAGAAATCTTAAATTACCCCTCTAAAATCTTCAGTCCAAATAATTACTACCTTCCACTTTCTTTCCTGGTTAATAGCTTTTTCACTGTATCAATTAGCAATTAAATGCAAAGAAGCAGTTAACATAATTTACAATTTGACTGGAATGATTTGTGGTCAAAATAACTACCCTTTTATAAAAGTACCTAGTTCCTGATCCTTTAACTGCACCTATTTTACTTATTTTACTTATCATTGAATGTTTGGCTTTATTTATTATTTATTTTATTTATTAAATTTATTTGCTGCCCATCTTATTTTGAAGCAACTCTGGGCAGCTTATAGCAGTAAAAGCATTAAAATAATAAAGGATAAATATTTCTAAAATAATAAAAAGGGAAATTACAATGAAAAATAGAATTATAGTTCAAAGATGGGGAAGAAGCAGGATGTGTGTTGGGAGGGGGAGGTAGGATTGCCCTTTAAGTCCTCAACCACATCTAGTGTGAAGCTCCCCCATGGGGGCCCCAAACCGTCTGGCAGAGCTGGGTGTTCAAGCCTTTATGGGAGGTCAGAATGGTGGAAGCTGATCTCACTTCAGAGAGTAAGTTGTTCCAAAGGGCAGGAGCCACGGCAGAGGTGGCAGAGAAGGCCCTTCTCCTCGATCCTGCCAACTGGAATTCCTTGAGTGCTGGGGCCCACAGCATGTTTCCTCTGTTGGCATGGGTGGTGCAAGCCAATTCCAGTGTAGTGGGACAATTGATATCCCCTTTTCCACAGAATATACACGGTACAGTATATGCTAACTCAGCACAGAACCAGCTGCTCTTTTCAGCAACTATATCAATGTTCACATGATAGCCATTCATGTTACACAGTACTGATTAGACTTAATGTCTCATTTTAATCTACCTCATTTTATAAAAAAAGGGAGCAATTATTGTCAAATTGCAGTTCTAACTAATTTGCCTTCAAAATCTTTAGGAAACAGAGGCTATGACTGAGCTTCTTGTTAATCTCTATTCATCCTACGTGCTACAGCATATTTAGTTTTAGAAGAATAAATAATAAAATGCCTGAAAATCATCTGTTCTATATTTACATGTTTATTAAAAAAGTATATTTAATATAGTGAATACTTTTACTTTTGCCCTGCAATATAACCCCTTGTTGAATTGTTCTTCTTAAATATTCTTCTACTGAAGAGTAAGAAGAGATCCTGTGACAAAGCCAATTCATTTCTAATCTTACCACATCACTACTTCTTGCTTGATTACAATGGGCCCCTTCTAAGGAGACAAATCCCAAATGCTGCAAAGTAATTATATCTGTAGATGTTGTTTTTCTGTCAAAAACAAACTTTATACATTTATTCAAATGTATAGGCTGCCTGACTCTCAAATGACTCTGGGTGTCAACTAAAAACCAACTAATTAAAAAAATACAACTAGAAGACCAAAGACAAAGAACCAAACCCACAAAACCAAATCAAACCAAACTGGAGTTGTCTTCAACAATTTTCAGTTGGGCAGAGATTGTAATTAAGTTAAGGTATCCTTTTCCTGAAATGACAGCTGTGGCATCCATATTGTAAGTCACACTTAATGTATGCTCAGAAAAAAAACTATGAAAAAGTATACATACCCAACATGGCTACAATCCCGATATGGCAGCACTGAAAATATGCTGCAGAAGGATCTTCTGCCACTAATAAGGACTATTCTAGAAGGCAAACAAGATAAAGGATATGATCTAGAGTAGAATATCCAGCAATTCAGAATGATCTCATAAATCTACTTCTCATTCTTCTTTTTCTTTCATGTTACCCTTGCTTTTCCTGTCTTTGCTCTATGTACTCTACATGCCATTCCATCCTCCAGTTTTCCCCACAACAACATCTCTATGATGGTTAGCTGTTAGGTTAGCTCAAATCACCAAGTGGGCTTCTATGGCTGGGGATGATCATGTACCTGGCCCTGACAGGATCTGATACAACACTTGAACTCCTCCATGATCACAATGCCTGTCTATTATTTTGCTGTGGGCAAAGTATTTTCAAATGTCAAAATCCAACTTTCCCTGCTCATTTAATAATATCAGATGCAAGTCCAGGCATTATGAATTTGTAAAACACAGGGACAGCTCATCATCTCCTTTTGGAGGGGGCAGCCGGTCCTTTGAAAGAGTGTAGCTTTATCATATCATTAATGGGAGAAAGGGAGGTCTATTCTCTGTATTTCAAACAAGCACAACAACTGCAGAACAGAATATTGTGAACATTATTAATATGAGCTTTAAAAGTGCTATGTCTAAGAAACAATGAAAGTACACCGGGCAGGAGGTAAGAAAGAGAAGAAAGTAAGGACCTGGTCCTAGGTCAGGTCTCCATAAAACTTTCAGCAAAACCCCCCAATGAAACTGTTATATTTTTGTCTCTTTCATTATGTTTAAATATCTGACAAGGTAATCCCCAGGCAGCTACTAATGAGACAGCTGATTATCTTTTTTTTTAAGCAGAATGCTGTGCCAGAAATGTTTGAGAAATAAATGATTCTTTCTGCCCATGTTCATAAAGATAACAATAGGTAAATCCTGCTAAGCAAATGACAGTACAGATATTTAATAGCTAACCAAATCTAACATCAAGCAGATGGCTTCTCTATTTTGTGTTTTCATTCAAAAAATGAAAGCACTACAATTTAGAAGAGGCATTAAACTTACAACAATATCTGATATTCAAAGCCTCTTCAAACTATGCAATGAAGTATCAAAGTATGCAATGAAATCGTGCAAAGTTTCTAATTGAGAACACAGGTGGCACTGTAGTAAATTACTACACAGAAAGTCTGCTACGTTAGATGCTAATCTTTTAGGAATGTTCATTTAATCCATAGGAATTGAACTTCATGAAGCATTAAAACTGAACTCTCATTCACCCTTTAGTTAACTTGGTATTACTCTGCACTGCTGATCATGAACTACATATTTTAATTGCAAGAAGAGTGGAAAAAATATAAAGCAAAATGTAAGGACAGCAATCAAGAGACTAGTCATGAATACCTTAATTAAAAATTATTATGACTATGATCATCACATCTGGACTGCAAAAACCTGTTCAGCGATTAGATGACAGTAAAGAGTAAGAATCTCTCTGCTACCTACTTTCGAGTTTTTTGAATGGTATTATGTTTACTCATAACGAAGTTCAATATATAACTGAAGTTGACAAAAGAAACCCAAGACATTACACTAGCCTTCTACTTATTAGAAGCAGTTGACCACAGGAAAGGATTTTAAAGAATCTTCATCTAAAGTTCTTTAAAGGGACACATACAATAGAAACACCACTGTGAATGTCGTACAGATCAAAAAGACCAAGTAGTAGGGAAGGAGAAATAGTTCACTATAAGAAACCCTGACAATTAAAACCAACCATGCTGGACTAGATAGGAAAACAATCTTTCTTTGTAGAAACCAGCCTGCCTTGTTATTACATAACAAATGCTATAGTTTCATTGTGAAATAATGCTTCTAAAGACCTTTAGTTATTAGTCATGTACAGAAGTCTATCCTGCTGCATAAGAGCTTTTAAACTGGCAATACAAACAGATAAAATAAGGAGGCAAATCCTTATTTCTAACGATTTGGAAGTCACTGCTGATTGTTAGTGGCTGAAAAAGAAAGCCATTCAATTATTCAGATATTTTAGCACTGAAATAAAGATCTTTCACTCTTGCATGCCCAGCATCCATTTGTACACCATCAAATAAGTTAGGTGGTCATTTATCCTATCAATTTCACAACATCTCAAGCACAAAATAAGAGACACACATTCTTTACACAATTATTCCAGGCACAGTGTGCTCAGGCTTCATTTCCTTTCTATATTTAAAAGATCCTAGTCTTCAACTCCAATAAACTGGTATGCTCAGTCACTGAAATCTAACAGTAAGTTTCAAGACAACTGCTGACTGCATTGAAGAGTCCCATTGCCTATTATATTTCCTGGTTCAACTGTAATAATATAGGTTTTTATTACTTCTGTTTCTTATTATGTTGTAGAGCACACAATCTTATCAAAGTGTTATTGAGAATAATGATTCCTATAATATTTCACTCCTGTAAATATCTCTTATTAGCTAGATACCTAGGGCTTTCGAAATAGTAAACTTGATTTCATGCAAAGATTTAATCTTCATATTACTATTGATCAAGCTTGTTCACGTACAGAAGAGATTAGCACAGCTACAAACTTCAGTAAATAAATTATATTGATAAAGATTAACAAGCATTTATAGTTGGTGAAACTGCAGGAAGAGATCTCAGTATCTGTTGCAGATACTTGCCACAAATAAAACTTTCCAGCTCATTTGTTCTATGGATGGAATACAGAAGATTTTAAACCATTACCTCTCAGGTTAGTATTCTGCAGTTGTATTGGGTTAGAGTTCCTCAAATTCCCAACCAACACAGGAGTGGCCATGATGGTTGGAAATGTTATATTTTGAACTTCAATACATCTGGATAGACAGGCAGATAAAATGTATATTATTTATAATTTAGATTTCTATAAGTTGACCCACTCAGCATGGATTCTGGGCAATAGACTATTAAAACCAATGCAATAACCAAAACACAAGTGAGCTAACTTTAAATAACAGTTACATATAACAAGGCAAATAATGTACTATAAGCAAGGCAGATTATACATACAATGAGCACAAAACCAACCTATCTGGGTGCTTGGGGGAAAAGCCATGTTTCAAAAGATTATCTAAAGATTAGCAGGGTCGTGGCAGCCAAAACCTCTGAGGCAATGTTATTCCAGAAGGCAGAGTTCATAACAGAGAAAGCATGCTTTCTAGGTCATAGGAACAGCACAGCAACAATTTTTAAAACATGTAGCTCAGTTTGCTGATCAGCATACATTAATAATTCTGGATCAATATGCTTGATGATTTTATTTGCAGAGTTCTTCCATATGAAAACATAGTTTTGAATTTAGAATCCCATTTCTATATGCCCCACCCCACCCCCAATAATTTGTTCTCATTTCCTCTATTCATGTGTTATCCCAATTATATGGCATTTTTTCCTGCAAAATACCTGCCACTTCTCGTATCATTCTGCCGCAAATTCTTGATGAAATGAATCTTCTTAAAGTTCTTTGGTCTGGGTGAGCCTGACAGAGTCCGGCATCTAAAAAATAATGATATTGAAAGAATTAAATTCTTTCTGTATAGCTGAATCTCTCAGCACAAAAACAAGAAAGCGATTATTCAAGTGACCTCTTCTCTATTAAAATTAAGGAATTTATAGCAATAACAGAATGTAGAAATAAAAAAACCTTACATTTAAAAAATAAAACAATGTATTTAAAAACTAAACATAAAACTTCTTGGATTATGCTATAGCTGTCTTTAGGAAAGCTGATTACAAAAGAATGCAACATTTTTTTCTCTCACAAGAATTTTCTGATTATGCATCTTAAAGTGTATGTTATAATTTCTGCTTCAAAATATTTTGGAGTGAGTGAAATTCTGCCTCATATAAATACCATAACTAGACACATGAGATTTTCCAAATATTGTTTCTGCCTTTTTTTATTTTCCATTTGCAAACAAGATCTCAGAAATGGAATAGATTTGACATCTAAGGGAGTATGATGATATAAAGAATACTAATTATAACATTTATTTTAAACACCAACACAACTGCAAAAACTGCTTTCTTTTAAAGAAACTGTTACACAATATGTTGCTTAGTGAATAACCACCCATCCAAAGCTGTTCTTTGTACTTATATATATTGGCTTAGTAAAAACAATATTCTTGGAAGTGGAATTGTTAATTTCTGGATAGATTAGTTTATTTTTGTAGGACCAAAAGGAAATGTCTTTTATAGGAAAGAAATATTCCTATCGTAAGAACAGGAAATTACAGACCTAAAATAATTAGAGACAAGTGTTTACAAGATCCAACGGACAACTAAAATTAGTTATTTTCCTGTCAACATTCAGAATGGCTTTCTCTGCTGAAGATCTGGGGAAGGGAGAATAGCAGGTATGGGAAAAGTTATAAGACTTATGGGACTTTGCTCAGAGTAACATTTTGTGAGATGTGCAGCTACAGTATATAAATTTGATAAATAGTTGAAATTTATGTAATACTTAATTTTTTATATTTTATAAAATATATTTTTCTAAATATATGTTTATTTAAACAATAATTATAAACATTATTAATGTTGATTTACACATTTTTATTTTTATACAAATGGAGCTACAAACTGAACTGTAAGAAAATTAATTAGCATCTCTTATTTTTGTCTATTTAAGAGAAACTGGAGACTATTTCTGCTAACTATTTTGCTGTTTTTCAGTAGAAGAAAAGTTTAAGAAAAAAGTAATACTACTGCATTTTGATCTGTAATTTGGCACTGATATGGATATTAGTCCTGAGTTCATGCATTTGAACCACAACTGATCACAAGATACACAAAACAACATAGAAACTGCATATCCCTTCTGGAGACTTTATACTGCTAATTATGCTTATTTCCATAATTCTAATTTGCTCTCCTTGTAGCATCTTCCTATTGCTCTTGGCAATCGCAATGGGATCCAATTAAAAGATACCTCACTGTGAACAAAACGCCACTGGAAGATTGCCTTAAATAAATGATATGAAATATTAAACACTATTTCTTTTGGCAATTATACACATATTTAAATTATGTACAATGATAATTTCATTCTTGTGAATGTGCAATTACTACTAAGAAAGTGGTACATTTTGTCATTTGTGTTTTTGCTTTAGGAGACAGAAAAAGCAGACCTTTTCAGTTCAGTTTAAACAATAATGAATTGATAAACCTAAGCCCATAAAGATGATATGGGGAGTTACATAATAATAGTTATGTATTTTTCAAAATACAGGAACTAAGAGAAGTGGCCTTTTCAAAATTTTCAACTGATGATTCTTTTTGCCTTTAATTTGAAACAATGGAAAACAAGAGTTAAATTACTATGGCAGGTTGCATAATTAAAGCCTCCCCACAAAGGAATACTAAAAAAATAGAGGAGGCATTAAACTCAAGGATTTTCCCAGTTTTTCTTCAGAGAACCCGCCTCTCCCCACACACAATCTGGCTCCTGATAAGACAGATGTGCTACCCAGCCTAATGGATTAACACTTGTCTCTGTTTTAACTTACTTCAGCCAGTAATCAGCAGTTTATTTGGGAAAATTTTGGACCTTGGTTTTGGATCATCAAATAAAACTGCTGCTGCGTACTGAATCACAAGATTAAACCCCCTAGACAGATTTCCTTTTAAATAATAAGATACAGAGCAATCAAGCCTTTCTCTTAATGTGCTCAGTTTATTTTACCAATACAGATTCTGTACCACAGATGGCAGCTTATGTCAAAAAGAGCTTTTTAGTTGAAGAATTTTCAGACAACGAAATCAATTCTTGATTATGATGTGCAGCTAGATTCTAGAACAACGAGATTTTGGTTGTCTTCATGTTTGTACCATGTTTCCCCGAAAATAAGACCCTGTCTTATATTTTTTTGAACCGTGAAATAAGTGTTCAGCCTTATTGCCATGCGCTCGAAAGCCTGATTGGGCTTATTATCAGGGGGATATCTTCGTTTTGGGGAAAACAGGGTATGTGCATGTGCTTCACACGTTTGCTTGTTTTGTTTTCTCTCCCCAACAAAAGTGAAATGACTGTGTATGCACATCCATACAGAGACAGCCAGGAACATCTTAGCTATATTCCCCTACCCCTTTCTGAATAAAGCAGATTAATCAGAGCAGTTAGCTCTGATTAATCTCCTGCCATAGTTTACATAGTGTTTGGCTCAACTGCTACACAAATAAAGAAACTCATGATGTAGATTACAAATTCTATATGTATACATCCATTGGGAACAGATTAGAAGTATTAGCAATAGCAATAGCACTTAGACTTATATACCGCTTCATAGTGCTTTTACAGCCCTCTCTAAGCGGTTTACAGAGTCAGTATATTGCCCCCAACAATCTGGGTCTCATTTTACCCACCCTGAAAGGATGGGAGGCTGAGTCAACCTTGAGCCTGGTGAGATTCGATCTGTCAAACTGCAGCTAGCAGTCAGCTGAAGTAGCCTGCAGTACTGCACTCTAACCACTGTGCCACCTCGGCTCTATAGTATTCCTCCTCTTTGCCAATAATATTTGATTGTATAAATTATCTTTGTTTCTGGTTGGGTTAATATTTTTTGGTTTTTGCTTTCAAGTGTTATGGACAAAAGTTATTTAAAATAGTTTTTAAATTATTGGCCAGGGAAAAGTCCAAATTGCACTTCAAGTACTGTTTTCTATATCTTGTGCAATTCTATTTCCATCAAATTCTTTTTTCCATGAAGGCCTTGGAAAAGATATTCAGATGCCAGATTATCTCTTTATCTACAAAGATAAAAATTATGCAAGCCATGGTATTCCAGGTGATATTCTATGGAAACAACTGCACGATAGGAAGAGTATTGACACTTTTGAATTTTGGTATTAGAGCAGCTTTCCTCACAGAAAGTAAACAAATGGATCATCAAACAAATCAAGCCACAGTTCCAACTTGATGCACAAATGATCAGAATCAGATTATTCTAGTTTGGACATGTTATGCAAAGACCTAGTTCTCTAGAAAAGGCTCTACTGCTGGGAAAAGTGGAAAGAAAGAAAATAGGATGACCAACAGCAAGATGGAGAAACTCACTTACCATGATGATGGGTACACTGTTAAAACACCGGTTAGGGATAGATTGTTATTTAAAAAATCTATGTAGTTGCTAACAGTAGCCAATATCTTGATGGCACATAATGATTCAATCTACTCATTATACAATGAATCAATTAATCAATCAATTACACCATACTCTTGGTATACAAAAATGAAAGTTTGGAAAATATCTTTAGAGGCCCTGGCATGTTTATATCTGCAAAGATCAGTATTATGCAAATAATAAGTTTCTCTTTCATACAAATGAAAATTGGACTTTGCAGAAGCAAGATAGGAAAAGTATTGATGCTTTTGAACTTTGAAATTGGAGAAAACTCTGGAAAATATTACGGACAGCCAATAAAAGAAACAAATGGACATTGAACATAGAATGGATCATAGAATCACCCTGGAGTTTACCATTCAAGGCACAAATGATCAGGCTTAAAGTCTTACAGTTTATAATATGCTTATTGCATAAACAGCAACTTAGTCTGTGAGAAAAAAAAAACTCAGAAAGAAGCATTCAAAGTAATTCAAAGAAACTCTACTTTAATTAACTCACCATGAATGAAGACTTGAAATTCCTTCTACAGTTTTCAAAATCCTGTCTTTACTCCAGACTGTGTTAAATATACCTCACTGAAAACAGTACAATGCTCCCATGATGTTGCTCAGTTGCAAAGCATTTGACATATTATAACAACCATACTAAATAAACAAAAACTGACAGGAGTGTAACAGATAGGAACAATCTTCTTCTATGAGGGCTTTGTGAGTTTGTAGAACTCTTGTTTCCTTATGTTTTTTTAGTCTTCTGAAGTTAGCATAAGAAAGAGATGAGACAAAGTAGCCCTTTTTTCTTGCTGTACAAATTATAGGTGATTTAAAAGAAAGTAGCCTGAAAATTGCTTTTGAAACATAAAACATGATTAAATGAGCAAAAAAGACCTGTTACTCAAGGAGATGCTTAGTACTTCACATATTCTTAGTTTATATTTTGATAATTAGAACAAGGTGTGATTTAGTAAAGCTGGCTTCAAATTAAAGATGGAGTAAGGAGAGAATATGTAAGTATTTAATTGCAAAGTCCTCAACACATTTTTTTCATAAATAGGATAGGCTTAAAGTCTAGAAAGAATCTGGAAACAATAAACATGTTACAAAAATGTGGATTTATAGAAACTTGAAAAGGAAAGCCAAAACATCTTAATTAGAAGGTTAACTGGAAGGAAAACCAAATTGACATGGTCTCTGCAAATGTTAGGTTCTCTCTTACAAGGTTTTAGGGATATTTTTTGAGAGATACTCCTTAATCCTATGTAAACCACTTGTAGTTGCAATATACAAATTGGGCAACTATATCTTTTATTTACTTAATTAAACATAGAAGCCACCTGACTCTGGATGATTTGGGACATTTTACTAATTAGAA